ATCTTTCCTTTCAGCATGTTTTACCCTCTAAAGGCAAAGACAGAACCACAATTATTCTGTGCTTTACACACTCTACTCCATTATGAGTTTTTTGATTAGTTGTATTCCTCCTTTCACTTAACACAGTACCTAACTATGATTATTGCGGGATAAAGGGCATGAGGCCCCTAATCAATTAATGTTTCAGGATCAGCAGTAATAGGTCACTCAAAATCTAACCAGATCCAAATGCCTATGGGTGCTCTCTCACCCCGCCTCCACCACAGTCTCCATTAAAGCCATGATCCTAACACTTAAACAGCCTGGCACAGTAGCCCAAACGGTTTACCTAGAAACTGAAATTCACTCAGAAAGTAAGATGAAATATTGGTAAGCAAATATGGAAAACATAATTTTTCTTTTCGGGGGTGTATGAGGAAGGAAGTCATGGCAGAAATTATTAAAATACTTCTTGTGTAGAAGAGTTGTACCCTTAAAACACACAAGAAACACTACAAAGCATTCATCTTCAATGTAACCTACATACAACATAACATACATACATAGCATTGTTCACTTTTCAATGGTGTGGGAAGAAAAGCAAAGGGAGGCTGTCTGAAACTATTAGGAAAAGGGGAAAATCATCAGTTTAGAATGAGAACTGAGATTCCCGCTCCCCCACCAATGTTGCTTTGGAAATTTAAATCACTTTGTAATTGTGCTCAGAAACAGTCAATATGCTTAACTTAAATTATAAAGCCAACCTCCCTATTGATAATAAAGCTCACTTTATAACTTCATCAGTAATTGGATTTCAGAAGGAACTGAACATTTAATCTCCACCTTGTAGAAGTATTTCCTTGTAGAGATATTTCCAAAGATGTTACCATGTAAAAAATGTGTGTGCCTAAGACATACTTATACCTAAGACATATGCATGCCTATATTTATTGATGTACTATCCATAATACCTAAAATACAGAATTGTCTAAGATGTACATCAACAAAGTACTAAAGAAAACAAAATGGAATATTACTGAGCTATAAAAAAAACCAGTATATACTAACATCTAGAACAAAATACACAGAACTGGGACATACTAACAATAGTCAGAAACAGAAAAAAGAACAATAAGAGGTTCTCTTTTACACCTAGACACTAAAATAAAAAAAGGTTTACCCAAATGTGGAATATGATTTCTCAAGGCAGGAAAAGGTGCAGGTGATAAAGGTTAAATACTGAATGGATGCCAAGTACAGATATTGAGTTCTAGTATATTAGTGTGTGTTCTACAACACAGAGGGGTGACTTAGAGACCACAATTATACATTTTATGATTAACTAGAAGGTTGCAAACACAATGAATAACAAGGAGTTGGAACCATCACACCTTCCTTGACAGAATTCTCTACAGTATTAATCTGAACCGCATCCCTCTCAACCACCCATTTAATATTCAAGGCTTTACCTGTGCTAAAATTGGGGGACAGTGTGAATGGTAAGAAAGAGAGGGTAAAATTTCAATTACTCATGTAAAAGTTGAGATGAGATGGTAGAACCTTAGGTGTAGAATATAACATGGAGACTTCCTAGCAGGGGGTGGTGGCACACACCTATAATTCTTATATTCAGGAAGCAAAGGTAGGATGATTGTGAGTTCGAGGCCATCCTGGGCTACATGGTCAGTCCAAGGCCAGCTTGTGTCAAGTGAGACTCTGGAAAAAGCTTCAGCTTTCCTTAGCAATTTAATCTATAACAGGGTACATTTTCCAGTTGTCTCCTTCCTTGGTGTAAGTATAAGATGCTACAAAAGAATAAAAATGTGTCTTGGTACTTATATGACTTGTTCAAAACACTTACTTGGAAGAAAAGAGACTCCAATGACATCTAGGGTGACTTGTGACTCTGAATGCTGCTGGGGATACCCTGTCCTCTGAGTCTGCTGAGTGGGCCAGGACTCCATTTGATGGCACCAGTGAGCTCTTCAGCTCCTATTTTGCCCAGGTCTGCAATGTGACAGGAAGACCTGCAATCCTATGCTGACATTATTTCTCCCAAAGTTCTTTAACTGCTACTTTATTCACTGTAATGCAATAAAAAGCAGCTGTTGAGAGACAAACCATGCTGCTAAGACCAAGCCCATTCTATTTACAACTTCCTGCAGACTCAGTTTTCCAAACTGTACAACGGCCTCTAATGCCCCATCAACCTGATTGGGTTATTCCAACTAGATATCTAGATATCTAGAAGAGGGGCACTAACAAGATTTGTACAAAACTGTTTGCTAACAGTAGGGCACCCACATTTCTTTCTAACTTCTGAGATACTGGACATTCTAAGAATCACCTTGCAAAAAACCAGCAGCACTTCTACAAGGTGGATATTATTAAAATGTACACTACTGAATTCATGTGCTACCAGCTATATCTTTTTACAGAGGAAAAACAAGTTAAAACTGGCATTGGTCTTGTAAAAGTAACAGCACATACACACATTCTCCCCTCCCCATGGAATAGCATT